ACTGTTTTAGAAAGCGAGCAGTGAGATTTGAATTGGTGCTTATGAGTTTAGAGCTGGATTATTCGCCACAAGTACATGCTTGGCAATATACTCGCAATAGTGATCACATTTTGGTTATCCGTTGAAACAAATTGTTAAAGCGAGGCTTAAATTACTAAACTGCTTACTACTATAATCCTAGTAAAATATTGGATTTTGTTTGGCAGAAAATAGAAGGTCAGAGTGAAAACCAAATTATTCATATATAATACCTCCACGTGGTCCACCCTGGGCAACGTATACTCATACGGCAAAAAAGTCTATTAATCGGCAGTTGACTTCTGACTTCAAACTACCCCCACTGTATGACATATTCAACCCGTTTCACAGTACTCATCTTACCTTTTCTCTGCTCTTTTGTCTGTCTCTGTCACATCTGTGAATCATTATTCTGTCCCCCTCTCGAATTGTTGTCACTCTGATGTTCCTCCTCCTTTGTGAAGCCTGAAGTCAGCTAAATGGCTAATGATAACTCTCAAACGCCTGCCACTTGAAATAAACAAATAAATATTTTAAAAAATTGATATTTATAGACAGATTTACTTTATATTTCTTTATTCATCTTTTATAGACTTGGCTATATGTAGGTTTAGGTTTCGGGATGCTATCTCTCTTATTTCCGTCTCTTTAAGTGTATACGACCGATTGTTGTGGTTAAGCTTCACAAGCAGAGCGTGTATGAAGATTAAAAGATCAACAAAAGGTGTTCAACCGATAATAGGTATATATAAATTTAGCAATACATATCCCAATTGAGGGGGCTAGAATCATTCATCTCGATGGCTACTCTTAGGTGCGTTGAATAGTCTCTCAATTCGCTAGTTTGGTCATCAAAATCTAAACACATCCGATATAAAATCACTCTAAAAAAAAACGCAGGCATGCATATCTATTATCCACAATTCTCTCTCCTGTTGGCATGCATTTCAAATTTCCTGTTATTTAGGTGCTTCTCGATTATTGGAAATATCTTCAGATTTTGGTAAGTTGCTGATCATAGAAAAGCTTCTATCGCCTCATCCGGGTCGAAACCATTAAGCTTAAAAAAACGAATTTTATTTACATTTTCCCCAGAGTACTTAAAATTTGTTATAAATTGTCATATTTTAATGAAGCAAAATCATTTAACGCTCTAAAGCTATTATTGCTTTAACTAAGGCGAATTCAAGCCAGGTGTCATCTGGTGATTACGCGAGTGCTTATAAGTAGAAATTCAAATGAGTAGACATACGTGATTTATTCGTCTTTTGATGCGAACATACATCAAGACTTGATATTTAATTCGTTCGTTTAAATCAAGATCTTAGATTCAATTACATCACATTCCAAATCAGCCATTTAAATGGATGAGTCGGACCAAGAACAAGATGCAAAATCATCCATGACGAAAATGTGTTGTATATTTAAGTCGGAATATTCAATTGATGCACTGATGGCAAGTACAAAGGCTGCTATTCTAGAGTATGGGTGCTTGCCAAATTAAATTACCCTTGATTGCTTCTAGAGTTCTTCCAAATGTTAAGATTTCGCAGGACGATTCGATTTTGAACATTGACGGAACAGTGAAGGCAAGCATTAGCAAGAAACCCAAAAATGAAGTGATAATTGAATTTGAATATCCCGTCGCGGACTATAAGAAATATGTTGATGCTTTTTCGCGTGTTGGTAGTAAGCACGATTCTGCAATTCTTTACATAAACAGACCTTTATTGTGATTACTACTTCTTGTTCTAAGTTGAAATGTATGTCTGTGAAATTGCTAATCAAGAACTCTGTTTCAATTGTCAACTTGGTTAATACGGGGGTGAAGGAATCTATCATTTCGGAATTTTCTTTCTTCTAATCTACTGAAAAGGAGTATTTGAAAGAGCTTTCATAAATGGTAATGATTTTAAAAACGAACTTCCGATTAACGGACTTGGTACCTTACATTAAGAATTTGAGTGTTGAGTATTTTTGGATTAAAGCATAGAAGTAATGATTCAATTGGATGAAGTGATGGAAACTTAAATAAACGAATGCAAGCTCAAGAACCCAACTTCCCACGGTCTAGTCGTAGCAAATTTTCCAGCTGATTATAACGCCTATTATCTTCACATCAGGGTGGATCAGGGTATTTCATAGCTTATACTCTTGATGCATTACTTTGTGTTAGGCCATTATTATTTGCTTTGTTTGATATATATTTATCTTGAATATAAATTAGCTCGTATTCTAAATTTCTAGTGGCTTATTAGCATTCGTGAGCTTTAATTGATGTAGGCCCTTTCATTTTATCTCGCGCACTTCAAGCGGTTTTTCTAGTGTTAGGTCGCTTTCTTTTCCCATTTATTTGTAGTAAAGTGATTTAACCGAAAAGTGTTTACTTTTCTTTACTCTTTTTTTGCAACATTTTCTATCAATTAAGCGAATTGCTCTTCATTCTTTTAACTTATTGAAAACACATGTTGCAAGTTCTAAGATTCTCGTGTTCCGTACCGTGATGGCATGGTATGTGTGTTCCTCGATCGAAATATGAAAAAAACCCACTTTTTCGTGGAAATGATTATTTAATAGATAAACAGAATTCGAATTATGGAGATTGGTATTAAAATGGAGGATAACACTTATCTAATCTAGTCATCACCGCCTCGTTTAAATTTGGAAGGGATAAGTTTGAAATATATGTCTTTTAATTGATATAATATAGCAAAATGATAGACCAGTTTTCTAAGCCACCGTTTTTTGTAATAATTCTTCCGTTTTTCCCACTTCTCAATTAATTGAGTGACTAACAATCGAAGTCAAAAGTTGAGTCTGGATCTTAAACAATTTTCTGCTTATTCCACACTTCTTGTTAACTTATGGTATCTTTGGACTTCGAGTTTCGTAATTGGGAGTGCATTATAAAAATTTTCCTGGATGGAGATCTGAATTTCCTTGTGTTTTAATGGTTACACATTTCACAATGAAGCACGGGCTTAAGTAATGCAAAAAAGAAGATTCGTATCAGAAATTGGCCATGTTTAAAGAGCTAGTGGCATAGCTGCCAAGAAGTTAGCTTTTACTAATCAAGAAATACAGTTAAAAACTTGAAGCTCAATAGAAAGTATTCAGCTCACGGAACGTAACTTTAATAATGAAATCTGTAGTGGATTGCTACACTAGTAAAGCCTTGACCGATTCAGAACTCTCTATAACAGTATCTGCCATATCCAGCTAGACTCCCTGAACTAGAAAAGCTAACATAATTTGAGTGAACATTGTTACCTAAATACCTCTGAACCGTGTTCTGCGCGTACGCCGAACACTCCAAATCCTGGTGTGCGTTCATGCGATGGCACGTCCCACAAATCTTATACTTCACATCCTTTTCCCTCGAAATACGACCTTTTATTTCCCGTCGACTTTAACGCCATTCTTAAAAATAAAATTTAATCAAACGAAATGAATATAGTGGCTAAGTTGTAGCATCGTTAGAGAAATATCATTAAATTGGTTCAAAAACCAAATTTCTGGATGGAAATCTCACACTTGAATAACAGTCAGTATTTGGGATTGCACATCTTGTAAATTAATAAGGAATAATCATTTGAACACAATCAAGTAGTTTTGTTAATTTCAATCCATTAACTATCGAAAAACGAATTAACAGATCACTTCCAATTTGATGGAACCATTTTAATGATAAGACGAAGTTGAGAGCAATATTTTTACCTTGAAAGTGGAATCAATGAATGATAATTACTGTTAATGCTTTCCAGTGTCATAAACCCGTTGTAATTATTTATTTATTTATTTCAAATGGCAGGCGTTTTGATAGATATCATTAGCCATTTACCTGACTTCGGGCTTCACAGGGGGAAGGTTCATCAAAGTAGCAGAAAGTCGAGGGGTGGGGAACAGAAGTGCGATTCACAGAAGTAAAAGAGGCAGACAGACACAAAGGTGGAGAAAAAGGTAAGGTGAGTACTGTGAAAGAGGTCGAATATGACAACCAGGGGGGTCGTGATAGTTTGAAGTGAGAAGTCAACTGCCGGTTAATAGACTTTTTTGCCATATGAGTATACGTTGCCCAGGGTGCACCACGTGGAGGTAAGTCAATCACACACCCCCGTTGTGATTATAACTGTAGAAGTAAATGCTATTATTATGGAGTAAGGTTACTATGTGGAAATGATTGGTAGTCCTTCGCATTTACAAGAATATTTCAAAAGCAAATATTGACAATGTTGGTGATACATTGACTTTTGATGAATGCTCAAAAATTCATTTTTGGAAATACTCTCTATTAGAAGGCCATTGTTTATTTAAATTTCCAGTGGGTAGAACGAATTCCAACCTTTATGTTAGACTTCTGTTCCGTATTAGCGTTTGATATATGTGCTCATACAATACGAAATTTTAGAATAAATACGATTTATTCCGCTTTCGTTT